GATGGACGTGGGGGTGGGGCTGGTGGGATTTGTCCGAGCCAGCTATCAGCTCTGCCCCGCGGACTGGGCGGCCCTGGGGGGTGCGGAGGAGCACTTCTCTCCAGACATTTCAGCCAGAGCCCAGGACTGACTTCCGTGTGTCCCACTTGGTCAGATGCCTGCTGATCACTGGGATGAGCTGGGCTGACTGGCCAGGTGTGGGGCATGTGGTCACCCTGGAAGATGGAGGGTGCCCTCACCGGAGGGAGGGGTATGGTTTCTGGAGAGGCAGGAATGACCTGCTGTACCCCCCCACCCCCAATACAGCCCTGCTCGGTCTGGGTTTGCAGCGGGGAGAGGGGGCAGCTTACAGCATGGGGGCGGGGGCGGGGCATAGGCCATAGACACAGTATGTGAGAAGGTGATTAAAATGGCTCTGGAAAAAAGTAGGTAAAGGGGTCAGCATGTCAGAGTGGGGGCGGGGAGGTCTAACTGAGAAGGTGACCTTGAAGCAAATCCCTGGAGGGGAGGGGATGCCCCAGAAAGAGCGCAGGGGACAGTGTCCTCGAGGGAAGAGCAGGTGGAACGATGTACAGCTGGAGTGGGGTGACAGCAAGGGGGCTGCCTCTGGAGGAGTCTGGTGCCTGCTTAGGGTTTGAACTCAGTCCCTGCAGCTGGGCCTTGGGGGCTAAAGGACAGATCCACTCCCCCCATCTCGCCCTCCCCAGCAGCACCTTTGCCCCCACGGGGTCTTCTCAGCTTCCTCCTGTGAGGCTTCCTCCATGGGCTATTGCCAAAAAGCCTTCCCTCCTTTCCTCCCTTCTTCCCTCACGGTGTCCCGCCCTCCTCAGGGTGAGTTCTGGAGATGGGCCCTGCCGAGGGACTGGGGGCTAAGGAGCAGGGATCAAAGGCCGGAAAGCTCACAACTCTCCTTTTGGAGCCATCTCTTCCAGAACCCTTATGTCTGGTGTTTTGCTTGCTGGAGTATGAGCCCCCAGGACAGCGACCACCCCTTTCTTCACTGTTGTGCCCCCCGTGTCCTGCATGGGCTGGGAGGCCGGGGATCTTCCAGGTGCTGCCCGCTCCCTCCTCCCCCTCACTGTGCCCACCCCAGATCTCACGTCTTCCCGCAGGGCTGGGCTCTGAGGGGCTCTGTGGGACCCAGGGAGGCGTGTGTGTGTGCGTGCGCGCGTGTGTGTGTGTGTGTGTGTAGATGCGTGATGAAGTGAGAGAGTGTGAGGTGTAGAGAACTAGCTTTTTTTTCCTAGCACCCACTCTCTATACCAGGTATTTATACCTTATAAATCCTATTTTACTGGCATGACACCCCTTTGGAAGGGGAACTGAGGCTCAGGGATGTAAAGTGGCATCTGCAAGTTCACACAGCCCCTGTCCGTCCCACTCCCCATCCCCTCTGCATTCTGCCTAAAATCCACGGCCTCTCTGGTTGGCAGAAAGTGGACCCAAGTTGTTGGCAGCGCCGTGAGCAGCCGGCGCCCGGGCAGGCAGTGTAGACACGTGGTGGGCATGCTAGGCTGAGGTTGCCTGAGCAGAGTGACTGGGGGCACATGCACTGTGACTCTTCTGTCCCTCCGGTGAGCGCTGCGTGTGGCTGGCTTTCCCCGGCCCAGCTGTGGTGTGGAGGCAGGAGATGTGGAGGCAGGAGAGCGGTGGCCTGCTCAAGGTCTTGGGTGGTTTTTTTTGTTTGGGGGATTTTTGTGGTAAATAAGTATAATGTTAAAATTGCCATTTTTTTTTTCCGTATACAATTCAGCAGCATTAAGTACCTTGATGGTATTGTGTGAGCAGCCCCATTATTTCCAAAATGCGGTTTTCATCACCCCAAACGATATCCACAAGGTAGCAGCTCCCCGTCCCCACTCCTCCCTGCCCCAGGGAGCCCTCAGATGTTTCCTGTCTCTGGGAAGGTGCCTATTCTAGACACTGCGTGGAAGCAGACCGTCTGTGTCCGTCCTGTTGTACCTCTTTCACTCGGTGTGATGTTTTCCAAGTTTCTCCACGATGTAGCAGGTGTCAGCACTTCATTCCTTTTTATGTCTGAGTGACATTTCAGTGCATGGATAAGACCCCATTTTGTTTTATCCATTTATTTGGTGAGGTTTTTCAGAATGTAAACAATGTAAGTCAGTCATTAATCGTTTACAATCTGGATATTTACATAATGGTGCAGATTTCCGGTTTCTCCTAAACATTGGGAATGCATGATCTGGTTTCCTGGTAGCTCACAGTCCCACCTGCCCGGCCACTTCCCTGGCTAGCCGAGGGCAACATCTGAGCAGAGGGAAGCAGGGTGCTCCGAGCAGAGCTCATACCTGGGGCTGGCCGGCTGAGCAGCACAGGTGCACAGTCCCAGGGCGAGGGGGTCGGCAGCTCCAAGATTGCCGACCACCCTGGGCTCCTGAGCCGTAAGAGGCTGGGGAGTAGGCCTCCCTCCTCTGTCCCCCGCCCCCTCCCAGAGAGGTTTAGGGCAAGGGAGTTCCCTCCTCCCAGGAGGTAAGCTGGTCAGGGAGGCAGGCGGTTGGGAGGCCACGTCTGAGCCTGTACAGGGGTGGGGCACTATGGGAGGCTGTGGGCCCGATGCCCATGCTGAGCGCTGGGACATTGGCTCACTGTGTGCCAGGCCTGGTGCCCTCCTAGTAACCCCTCCTCTTGGAGGAGGACAAAGCCCTCCAAGGTCAAACAGCCGGCCTATTGGAGATGGTGCCGGGCGTGAAGTCTCAGCTCCAAGGTGGGCTAAGAATGGGCTCCTGCTCGAGCAAACAGGAGCTCACGTGATCAGCCAGTCTGGGTGTCCGTCCTGGCCTTCCAGCTCCTCAGCTCCAGAAGGCTTCTCCAGCACCAGGTCCTGCCCTGGTGGGAGGTGGGCAGCTGTCAGGACTCAGCCCAGGCCAGGCAAAGGAGGCCTGAAGTATCCCCAGGAGGGAGGGACACCAGCTTCCTCAGGGCTGTGACTGCTTCCTTCCTAGGGACAGTGGAGGAAGCCTGCCCTGAGGAGGCAGCATTGAGCCAGGCCTTGAAGGCAGACTCAAATGTTCTGAGCTGGAAGCAACAAGGCAGGCAGACAGCAGAGCCCAAGCAGAGGCCTGGAGACGTGAGGCCCTGCGGTGACCAGCAGAGGGGGACAGGGCTACAGAAGTCCTGGGACTAAGAACTCAGTGGGCCGGGAGTCTGGCCTATGTTGTTGTGTATTACTCAGCGGGCTGTGGAGAACGGGAAGGTTATGGGGTGATGAAAAAGGTGGGGTGGAGACCGGGGTGGGGCTGAGGGGAGGGAGGGCAGCCGCTGACTCCCCTGTGGTTCAGTAATCTGCCTTGATCCCTCCAGGAGGGCTGGCACCTGGGTTGTCATCATGACTCTGTTTCCCAGCCTGGGGCTGGGACTGGGCCAGCCTACAGTAGGTGCTCAGTAAATGCTGCTGGGTAATTTGTTCATTCCACAGCCATCTAGCTCGGTCGCTGGAGATACTGCGGGAGGAGAACCTGGCACTTAAGTGATGGAGGAGAAGGGGGAGGCGGATGGGTGGTGAGGGCCCAGAGGTTGCAGGGCGGGCGTAGGGTGGGGACGGACTCTGGGGTGAAGCGGGGCCAGCAGGGAAGCTGTGGGGCGGTGAGTCTGAAACTGACCTGCAGGAAGATGGGGGGAGCAGTGGCTGCCCGGAGGAGGAAGAGGAGGAGGAGTAGGAGGGGCAGCCTGGCCCAGGGGACCTGCGGCTGCTGAGGGGGAGGGGTGCCACTTCACCGCGGCCTTTCCCATCCCCCTCTGCCCGGGGCTCGGCGGCTTGATGGGCAGCTCGGCCCCGCCCCTGGGCGGCCGGGAGCCCAGCGATTGGTTGGGGCGCTAGAGCTGCTCGGTCGCCATGGGGACACTCCGGCGGTGCGCGTGCCCAATGCCCAGCCCCGGGGACTAAGTCTTCATAATCTGCTGCCTGGGAGAGTGGGGGTGGGGTCTAGAGCGACCCTGGCCTGGGGGAAGGGGCGGCCTGGGAGGCGGTCAGGTCTCGCCGTGGCAGCTCCTCCCCCAGCCGCTCTGGGTGCTGGTGCCGAGTAGCCCCGGCACCTGGGCGCCACCGGGAACCACGCGGTACTCACCTGACAGTGACCCCGGGAGCTCGAGGAGCTTTGGCCTCTGCCTCTGCCGTCTCAGCTGATCAAGCTGGAGGCTGGGCCTGGACTCCCGAGAGGGGCCTGGAATTTTATCCGAAAATGTCTAGCCCCTTCGTTCAAAGTTTGTCTCCCCGGATTCCCCAGGCTGTGCTGTGCTCTCCGCAGCAGGGGGCGCCCGCAGCAGAGCTTTGTTGGGCTGTCACCTCTGGAAGGCAGTGGTGGCCCATTGAGATGCAGGGAATGCAGACCCCAGACACTGCAGCCCTGGCTAGGGCTGTCCAAGGCCACATGGCCTGGCACCAGAGGCGGCTGTGGGGGACAGGCTGCATGTGGGTAGGCTGGCAGGATTACTGGGCCTGCTTGCAGAATGGAGTGGGTAACAGGAGTGGGGGGCACAGTGGGGCATTAACCCTTTCTCCTTAGCAAGCCTGCTTGGGGGAGAGGGTGTGAAGGGGCAAGGCAGTGGTAAGTTAAAGGAAGCGGTGGTGCTGGTCCGGCCCCAAGCGACCTCTGGGGTGTCCAAGGACCTCTGGCAACAGCAGGCTTGTCAGACTTGAGGCTGTAGCCACTCATGGCCAGGCCCTGGAAGCTGGGCCTCCCTGGAGCCTGGGTATAGTGGCGTGGGGGTGGAGTGGGGGAGACCAGCATGGCCTGCACCCCCCATGGCTGCTCCTGCCCTGACGGCCTGGGCAGGGGGACCCTGCATCAGGCCGGGGCAGAGCTAGCTTCTCAGAGCCCCTAAAGGGGACCTCTGTGCTCACCTCCTACCCAGAGATGCTGGTGAAGACAAGATGGGGCCAGTATTCCCTGTGGCTGCCGCGGCCATGACGCCCCCCGGGGGCTTTAGGGGACAGTAGATGCTGCGCTGGAGCCTTACACCCAGGCCTCTCGTTCCAGATGACTCCTCCTCTGAGAGTGGCAGTGGCAATGGCTCCTCCACCCTGAACCCATCCACCTCCAGCAGCACGCAGGGCGACCCCGCCTTCCCAGAGATGAATGGCAACGGCGCTGTGGCCCCCATGGACTTCACCGCCACCTCCGAAGATCAGCCCATCAACCTGTGCGACAAGCTCCCGCCGGGCACGGCGCTCGGCACGCCCTCCTACCCCTCCGACAGCTGCGGCACCGATGGACTGCGGAGCCGTGTCAAGTATGGGGTGAAGACCACCCCTGAGGTGTGTGGGGCTGTGGGCTCCCCCGGAACCATGAGCCTCCTCCTTCCTGTGCAGGGCGGAGTGGTGGAGGCTGACATGAAATCATCTGTGTCCAGAGCTGTGATGTCGAGGCTGCTATGCCCTGTGTTCTGTGGAGGCTCTGGAATGAGGTCACACAGGGTGTGACCTTCTTTATGCCTGTGTCACCAGCTGTGAAGAAGCCTTAGTGGAGGTGGTGGGTGATGTGTGGCCTGTCCCCTCTATCCCAGAACAAAGTCGGCTGCAAATTCAGCAGCATGGGGCCGCACTGAGCACGGAGGCCCTGCCTTTCGTGGCTACTTTGCATGTTTGTCCCCGTTTTGCAGATGGTGCAGAGAAAGAACAAGGCCTCTGAAGCCCCAGGGATGTGGCTGTTTGAAATTAGGTAGATCAGGCTGATGGATGCACATGGGGGAAGGGTGGCCAATGCCGGTGCTCCCACCACCAAGCGCTCCCCCATGCCTTCGCCCCTCCCCCCCTTCTGCAAGCTGCCTCTGGGCCACTAAGGTTTCCTGCAGTGGTACGCTGAAGCACTGGGCACAGGAACTCTCTCAGCAGAGTTTTCTCCTTCCAGGGCTGCAGGGCCAGAGGTGACTTTGGGAGCCCTGCACCCCTGGGCACCAGCCATGTACCCCTACACAGTTTCTTCCCCTTCCCTGGGCCACCTGCTGCTGCAGAGAGCATGAGGTGGGGGCCAGGCCTTGCCTCTGATGGCCTGTCTCACGGGAGAATTCTTTACAGATGAGTGCGTGTTCAGTTGTCACTGTGTGTCCGAGCTCAGGCCACAGAGCAGGGGCAGACCTAGCTGTTCCCTGCACTGAGCAGAGGGCCACAGAGGGGGAGTCTGCTGCCATGACCTCAGGCCACGTGTGGGCCACGGAAGTGAGATGGGGCATCGGTGCCACCCGCAGCTTGTGTCTTGTGGTTCTGTCTCCTCTGGCCCCAGCAGAGGACTTGGCTAGGGAATGGCTTGGGAATGTGACTTGCCCAAGGCCCGGGAGGTCTTCTGACTCTCCACAGCAAGTCTGGTGTGACCGAGCAGGAGGCCGGAGGACCTGGTGTGTGGATCAAGAGCCGAGCACCAGGCCTGGGGCCCGGGGAGGGCTGACCCCTTGTGGACGGTCACAGGAAGCCTGATGGTGGCAGCTACTGCGGGACTGGGCGCCTGTCCATGTCCATCTTCATCTGTTTGCTCTACAGCAAGAGCGGTGTTCCCCAGAAGAGGCTTATTCTGGGAGGAGTTCCCGCGGTGGGAAAAGACAGCAGGGTTCCTTTGCTGGTGGGCCAGGCCTGGTTCCCACTCCCCCTTCCTACACACACACTCTGTGTGGGGGCTCACAGGGCTCCCTGGGGGGCGGCAACAGACAGGAGAAGCCCAGCCAGGGAGCTTCAGGAATGTACTCTGCCTAATGGACCTGTCGCCTTGGCTGGTTCCTTCTCCCAGCCCATCTGCTCCCTCCTCCCTGACAGCATGCTTGCCGCCTGCGTGACAGCTCGGTTGCCAGCTCAGGGTTGCCGCCCCTTGGGATCAGGGAGGAAAACCCTAAAGCCAGAACCAGTCTTGGCAGAACCAGAAGAGGCTGGCTGGTGGTGGGACCCCTTCCTGTGTCTGCCTGTTCCCTGCACGATGTGGCGGGTCCTGGTGTGGGCTTGGTGCCTCCGGGGCCCCGGGCCTCTGCTGGCGCTGCTGTGGGCAGGCAGTCCTGCCTCTGGCCACCCAGGGAGGGGAGGCAACACAGGCCCTCGAAACTGTGGCTTGTGTGGCAGCCAGGTGTGCTCACCATCCCAGTCCCTTAGCTCACCGTGGCTGTCAGACCGAAAGCGGGCCCGGTCTGACCCTCTGGCCCTTGCCTCTCTCAGTCACCCCCTTACAGCTCCGGGAGCTATGATTCCATCAAGACTGAGGTCAGTGGCTGCCCTGAGGACCTGACGGTGGGCCGGGCCCCCACAGCAGATGACGACGATGATGACCACGATGACCACGAGGACAATGACAAGATGAACGACTCTGAGGGCATGGACCCCGAGCGCCTCAAGGCCTTCAATGTGAGCACCGGCAAGGGATGGGCAGGGTGGGGGCCAGAGCCACGGCCAGCCCTTCCCACAGCCTATGTCTCCCACAGATGTTCGTGCGGCTCTTTGTGGATGAGAACTTGGACCGCATGGTGCCCATCTCCAAGCAGCCCAAGGAGAAGATCCAGGCCATCATCGAGTCCTGTAGCCGGCAGTTTCCCGAGTTCCAGGAGCGGGCCCGCAAGCGCATCCGCACGTACCTCAAGTCCTGCCGGCGCATGAAGAAGAACGGCATGGAGATGGTGAGCCCCTCCTCCCTACCCGCGGGCCTCCAGCCAAGTCCCAGGGCCCCTGGGTGGCCCGCTGGCCAGACACCTGCCCTCCATCCAGCAATCCCGGACACACAGAGGGAGCTGAGGCCCAGAACAGCTACTCCGCTGCAGAGATCACGGGCCCAGAGCCCAGAGCCCAGCCCTGTGTCAGCACCCGTTAGGGCAGGGGTCTGGGTCAGCCCTGATGCAGGCTCTGTCCCTGTTCTGCCTGCAGACTAGACCCACGCCTCCCCATCTGACCTCGGCCATGGCAGAAAACATCCTGGCAGCTGCCTGTGAGAGCGAGACAAGAAAAGCAGCCAAAAGGATGCGCCTGGAGATCTACCAGTCATCCCAGGTACCTGCTCTCCAGCAGGGTGAGAGCGCGGCCGGCAGTCATGCCGCAGACCCCCAGCCAGGCCAGCCGGGTGCAGGGGAGTGGGGGGGGACAGCGGACAGACAGAACTATGGTGGGGTGAATGCGCCCGGCACACAGGCCCTGCACTCCTCCGAAGTGTGGCCTCCGGGTGTTTTTAGCTGGGCAGGAACAGATCAACTCTGGCCCCCAGACACAGGAGCAGAGTTCCACAGGGCATGGCGCAGGGTCCCAGCGACAAGTGTCCGGACCTGCCACCCCTCTGAATCGTTCGCTCTTTCTGCCCCCTTTGCAGGACGAGCCCATCGCCCTGGACAAGCAGCACTCCCGGGACTCCGCAGCCATCACCCACTCCACCTACTCACTGCCAGCCTCCTCCTACTCCCAGGACCCCGTGTACGTCAACGGCGGCCTCAACTACAGTTACCGCGGGTACGGGGCCTTGGGCAGCAACCTGCAGCCCCCTGCCTCCCTCCAAACAGGAAATCACAGTAACGGTGAGTGTTGGGGGACCCAGGCTATCTGGGTACGCGGCGCAGCCTCAGGGAAGGGGGCCGGGCAGGCAGGGAAGCGGAGGCCAGATGGGAAGGTGAGGAAAACTTCAAGCGGTTAAAACACAAAGCCTGCCTGTCCTTTCTTCTCTCCGAGGCGGCTAGCTCCAGTGCTGGAGTGGATGCCCTGCCGGGCCTCTCCCTGCCTCAGCTCCTCGAGGGCCACCATGAGCTCTGAGTTGCAGTCAAAGCCCTGCTCTACCTGAGCTGCATCCTCTCCGCACCCCTGCTTTACCCACAATGACCAAGGCTTAGTGAGGTGGTCACTGGGAATTGGTGGCAGAGCCAGCATCTAGCCCAGGTGCAGCCCAGTTCTGCTGTGGCCTGGCGGGGGGTGGGGGGGTGGGGAGAGGGCACACCCGAGTGGCTCTGGGCAGGTCACTGCCTTCTCTAGGCCTCAGCTCATGCCCCTGCACTATGGAGCCCTCTCTGGGTCCCCTGGGGCCTCAGTGAACCATCTGTTCTCCCTGCTCCACCCCCTGAAGCTGGTGATACCCTGGGTGCTCCCCATGGTACTTCCCAGGTGCCACTGATGCAGACGGGGCGCAGACCTCCCTGTGGTGTCAGGTGCTGCCCTGAGTGGGAACTAGAGTGGGCCCCTCTGGAGTTTGGGGTGGGTGGGGATGAACTCAGGGCCTCTTGGGCTGAGCACTTGGATTCTGTTGTGTGTGTGATGGGAGCCGCTGATAGGTTTTAAGCAAAGGAGGGCTGTGAACTGCACTCTGCCTGCTCCCGTGATGAGACTGGAATTGGAAGGACAGGAGGCAGAAGTTATATGCATGGAGGGTCATTCAAGGACGAAGGGGAGTGAGGAGGAGAGCTGAGGGTGACCCCAAGTTCCCTGAGTAGGTTGGAAGAAGGTGCCGCCCACAGGCCAGGAAACATTGCTTTGAGGTCTTAGCTGAACATGCCTGAGAGTTCCTTTTAAGCCCTTGTCGTTGGCTGCAGGAGACCCCTCACTATTCCTGCGCATCAAGGGAGGGGCTGGCCCCCTACCCACGGCAGAAAGCCCAAAGCCCCCTCTGCTCACCTTGCCCCCTACCAGCAGGAAGTGTGTGCAGGTCCCTGGAAGGCTCCTGCCTGGGCTTAACTTCTCATCCCTTCCTAATGCGTCTTCACCTAAACTAAGAGGCTGCCTGGCCTTAATCCCCGAAGCTGAAGCCAGAGCGGCCGGCCTCAGCAAAGGGGGGGCGGCTGTCCCAGAAGGGCTGCTTTTCTTCCAGGAGTAAGAGCCATCTGACAGCCCTGCCGAGAGGGGACCCTGTTATGAGTATCCGAAGACAGGTCCCAGAGCAGGGGTATAGGACCCCTAGACAGACATGGCGAGCCTGAGGCTCCATACTTCCCAGGCCACAAGCGATGGGGACCACCGCCCCCCGCCCCACCCAGTGCCCCACAGCACAGCCTGTCTCAGGGCTGCAGCCGCCAGGTAAGGTAGTGGGCCTGCTGCCCTCTGGGCCCTCTTCACACCTGCCAGAGAGGCTCCAGCAGCGCCCAGCTCTCCCTTTTTAGGGAGGCAGCTGGCTCTGCCCTGTGCTTCCCAGGGCCTCTGCTCCCTTCTGTAAGCACCCTGCTTCCTTAGAGGTGGGTGGGGAGGTCACTGAGGCAGGGATCTGCTCATTCACCTGGGGCAGCCCCTGTCCTGGGAGCACTGGCTCAGAGCCCAGCAGCTGGAGGAAGACCGCCGGTGGCTGTCCCAGTCCTGCCCTCCCCAGCGGCCATCGGCCCCATCAGCCATCCTTCAGTCACACTGGCGCCTTGGCAGGGCCGCCCTGCTAGTGGCCCAGAGCACCTCACCGTGCTCATCAGCGGTGTCAGTGGGAGATCCAACTGAGCTTCCACAGAATCCGTTTGGCCTGCCTTTCCTGGGGGTGCTGGGCGACTTGCGCCCCCTCCCGCTCCTCCAGCAACCACCCCTGACTGTCAGCACCTGAGCCTGCAGGAGGATGGCTCCAGAGCAGATGGGCTGTGGGAGATAGGGACAGTCTCCTACCCAGGCCATAGCTACTGTCCAAGAGAGACAGAAGGACAGCTCTGAGCACAGGGCAGAAGAGAACAAGGCTTGGGGATCAGGGACCCCCTGATCAGGGAACCCCAGTATCGGTTCACACCATCTATGGCAGGTGGCTTCAGCCCTCCTCTGCTGTCTGGAGGACCCACCCCGGGGCCAGCCCTGCAGCATCCAAGAATTGGCAGAGGCATCCCTGCTCCCAGCCTGTCCCTGTGGCCCTTTGGCCACCCAAAGAGGAATTTACCGCCTGCTTGGCTGCTGTTTCCAGCCAAGTCACAGCCCTGCTCCTTCCACTTGCGTTTCATTTTAACAGACTTAGCTGCTCCCTTGACTCTCAATTCCAAGGACATCCCTTACTTAGCAAGCTGTTTCCAAGGCTTCCTCCTTGATGTCCATGTGCTCTGGCCAGAGAGGAAACAGCCGCGGTGACGGATGGGCCCGCCTCAGACTCCAGCCTCCTTCCCCACGAGGGGCTGCACCAGCTCTTTTCAGCAACAGTTTTTTCCACGGTCTCTCCCAGCATGAGGCTTCCAGCCTAGCGGCCTCCAGTGACCAGAGCTCGTCCATCTCTCTCTGTAGCGGCGTAGAGGGCCCCCGTAGTGCCCCTGTAGATGCAAGAGTGAGTGGCACTGGCTGCCCGAACCCAAGGGGTCGTGGGGAGACGGCTAGGGAGCATGGGCAGGCGTGGGCAGATGGTCTCCCTGAGGATGCTCCAGCTCCCACACGCCCAGACATGCTCTTCTTTGGCTGTGTCCTGGCTCAACACCTCTAAACAATGTGTTTCAAATTCTAGGAGCCTCCATGACTCCTGGGCACCCATTCAGAAAGCCCTAAAACCTGTCTGGAAGCCTGTTCCCCGTGGGCCTGGCAGCTCCCAGCCGAGCTGAGTTTCACGGACCTGGCTCAGCCCCCAGCAGCCTCCTCGAGTTCCGAGACTCGGGGATGTGGAACAGGTGCCTGCAGCGTGCCAGAGCGCGCCTTGAGTTCAGGCACCCGATTCCAAAGCCTGCCATGCACCTATGGAGCGGCCTGGGAGGGGCAAAGGGGAGACAACCTGCTGGTCCCCTGCCACACACCCCTAGGAGGTTTCAGAGGACTTCAGGCTCCTTTGCTGCCGCCATCGTTCAGAGGCCAGAGGGGACTTCTCCAGATAGCGCCCCTGGGTCCTGTCCTGACCACCCCCACCCTCACACACCTGCCCCACCGCACCAGCCTTCCCCTCACTCAGCCACGAAGACCCCCTCAGAGGAGGGTGGGGGAGATTTCAGGGTGCCATGGTTCATCAGAAACAGGCTTAGCACCCACGGCTCCTTCCTCCAACTTGGCACTCCCAGCCACTCCCCTGCAGAATGTGGTCACTCTCCTGCTGGCCTAGCCCCAACGTCTCCCCAGCCAAGCAGGGCACCTGGCATTTCTTCTCCCCTCCCTTTTCTGAGCACACACACTGCTATTTCTTTTCCCAGTCTTCTGTGGTTCCACTCTGGCCTCTAGGGCTTTCCACATACTCGTGCCTCTTGGGGTGAGGTGCCTGCTTACCTGCAGGTGTCCTAAATACCCTCTCCCTGGAAAACCACCCCATCAGGGGACCAACAGCACGTGGCCATCTGCACAGCACAGGCCACCACCAAGGGCCCTTCTCACGGGGTCGGGCCCACACTTTCCCTCAGCTGCCGCCAGCTCCCAGGGAAAGCTCTGCTTTACCTCAGGGAGGGGAATCTGGGGAGCACCGTCCACCTACGGTCCTCAGAAAGCTCCACAGTTGTGAGCAGAGGTGTGAGCGGGGCCAGGGAGCTAGAGTCAGAGCTCCTGGCCACGAGCCACCCTGCTCATGTGACCCAGGGCAAACCTCCCACCACCAGGCCTCCCCAACTTCCACCTATCGACCATAAGGTCCCCTTCCCCGCCGGACTGCCCTGAGGGTTCGCAGAGAACCCACGTCTCATCTGCTGGTACCGGGCCCCATTCTAGGCACTAGGGTTCAGCTGTTGAGGTCGGAGCGCCTGAGCCACAGCAGGCCCCCAAGACGACGCACAGAGGGATGTCCCCTCCTAGATGCCACGTGAGGGTTCAGCTCCCCTCCTCACCTACGCTCTCCTCTCCACAGGGCCCACCGACCTCAGCATGAAAGGCGGGGCCACCACGGCCTCCAGCACACCCACGCCCACGCCCTCCAGCAACAGCACCAGCAGGACCATGCCCGCTGCCCAGCTCAGCCCCACAGAGATCAGCGCCGTGCGGCAGCTCATCGCCGGCTACCGAGAGTCTGCCGCCTTCCTGCTGCGCTCCGCGGACGAACTGGAAAACCTCATTTTACAGCAGAACTGACCCCGTGGCACCTGGAGTGCACTACCCTGGGGAAGGAGGCTGTCCCGGCCCGGCTTCTTGCCTCACCACTTGGTACATTTTGTTTTTTTGAAAGAGGTGGGATCCAAAAGAGCTGTTTCTAGCCACACACCAAGCACCTGCAACTTTGGGCACAAGGACACTTTTTTTTGGAATCTCACCACACGGGTGCTCTGACCTGCTTGGAAGAGGCCAATGGGGCAGCTTTGGAAGGGCTGGGGCTCCCCTGACAAGGCGCTGGGGACGCAGCTCTATTTAGAATCATCTTCGTGGACCCTGATGTTAGAATCCCACCCCCAGATAATTACCTTTCAAGTCTTAGGTGAGCAGAATTGCATATTTATTGAGAAAAACAAAGTGGACCCTTTCTTCCTCTCCCCTTAGTAATTTATTTTTCTGAAAATGGATTCTTTTGTGTTTGTACAGATTGCCAGTCTATGTCTGTCTGATCAGAAGGATGTATCCCTGTGCCCTAACATTCCGTATCACTACACTGGCGTGGGCTGGGGGCCAGCAGGGCGGGGAGCGGGGAGGCGGGCGCCGGGCTGGCTGTCCTCCCGAGCGCCCAGCACCGCCAAGCCGGAGGACCTCACCCACACCCAATGCGAAGCAAAGACAAAAATGGCTCCCCTACCCCCATTCCACAGATGCCCCAGTCACATGGTCTCCTGTATTCTACCTCACACTCCAGCGTGGGCTTTTTCCAGGATGTGCCCTGAGCCCGTTCTGAATGGCTATCTATCTCCCGACTCCCACACACAAGGTGTCTGCCTGGGAGGTAAGTCCAGAGGGGTGGCCAGGACCTGGAGCCCAGAGAGGGATGCGACCCTCACAAGCAGTAGCTTGCAGCCCCTTGGCCCCAACCCTCCTGGCTGCTCAGCGGGACAGAGTGTGCGGGGGAGCAGCTGCTCCGCAGGGCCCTTGCTCTCACCTGCCCCCAGGGAGCCAGGTCTGAACATTTCTCCACACAGGCCCAGGGCCCTCAGACACCTGCCAGAAAGGGCCTGTTTCTTCAGGGTGGGCCCCCAGCTGTCATGCAGCTACCGAATAGGAAAAGCAGCTGTAAGCTCCTGGTTGGATGGCAGCACCTGTCCTCTGCCCCCGGAGCTGGAGTAAAGGGACCATCGATAGAAGTAGAGAAGCCACATGGGTTCTCCGAGGACCTGCCCTTCTGGAGGGGCCAGTCCTGGAAGAAACCCACAATCCCTGGAGTGTGAAAAAGGGCAGAAAGAAAAGGCTGGCCTGGTTTCCTTCCTCCCCAGTAGGCACTTCCTCTTGCTCAGTGCAATACCTACCAGTGCTGCTAAAACCAGGGACTCACCCGGACCTCAGAAGGCCCCCGGGGCCTCTCCATGCAACACTCCGTAGCCATGACAGCAGCTCTCTGCTGCCCGCCCCTGCCCAGAGCCGGCAGAAGCCCTCTGTTGCCTTTCCTCCCTCAGAGCAAAGAGGCCCCAGGGGAGCCAGGGCTGCGTGGACCCTAGGATGGCCACAGCCACTAGACCCCAGAGCAGGTACCCCTTCCCAAACCAGCTTCCTGCAGCTACCTGCTCCCCAGCACTATGGCAGACCACCCTCAGGAGGGCCAGGGAGGGGCTCCTGCATGGATGCCCCACCCCGCCTCAGACCCATGCCCGAGCTGTGGGCCCTGGAGCCACTGAAAGGTAGGGTGCCCCACCCCGTGCTTGCTTCCAGCCCCCAGTAGTTGGGGGCAGTCTTTCTCAAGTGGACTCCAACGCCCCACCCAGCCACACCACCTCTGCCTTCCATCTGACCAATCTCCAGGCCTCTCTGGTCAGGACCAGGACACCCGAGTCTCCCCCCTTAGCACAGTACAAGCTCCAGTGCCCAAGGTCTGTCCCCCACCCCAACCATCCACACATCCAGCCCCACCCGCTCACTGCTACTCCCCGATGCTTCAATTTGTGTAAATATTTGTGTGTGTGAACAATACTACAAAGTAATCAGTAGGTCTTTTGCAAAATGTTACCCCAGGCAATTTGTGAGAATCTTAATGTTAAAAACTGGCAGAGACAATCGCCACCTTAGAATTCTTGATACCAACTGCTTAACTTGTCATTCCCCCTCCCGGAGACAGGTTCCCTAGCCAGGCAAGGATGCAGTGCTTTCCTCACAGACTGGAGTGAGAAGGGCTGGGAGGGGCTGCTGCCACCACCCCACAGAAGGGATTCGATCTAAAGATCATCCTAAATGTCGGTGTGAGAGTCCCGCTTTCCTGAGCAGGCCACCTCAGCCTGCGCAGGCGCACTGGTGTGAGAGGAAGGCCTTGCGGGCCGGGGCTCCCCATGGCCCCTCTGGGACAGTGGATTCTGCCACCATGCCCTCACCACCTCTGCGGGCTCCTTCCCTGTGACGGCAGAATCAGGAGCCAGTCACTGTGGAAACGGCACTCTGTTAGCTCTTTCAGTCAGGGGACTTGTTGTTTTGCTTTCGTTTTCAAAGATGCAACTTCAGCCTCTCCCCCTGCTCCTGACTTGGAGCGCACCGAAGAGCCAGGTCTGCGGGTCTGCGGGACCTAGCTCACTGCTGTCCCACCCCCATCCCTGTCCTCACCCTCACCCCAGGGACCGCCTTCTCCCAAAGGGAGCTTCCAACGCCCTGCCCCACAGCCATTTAAAATTCTCACAGAGGGCCTCAGGGCACAAATTCTCCATTGGGGATCCTAAGCTAAAAGGTAACTCAAGAGTAGAAGACACCAATCCAGAGTCTTTGCAGGGGGCTAAATCCAGCAGAAGGGTAGAATCAGGAGAAATGGGAATTTGGTCTTCATGGTAGACATCTATAGACCAGTAATGGTGTGACCCATCTGAAATTCATTGTACCGTCACCTCCAGTACAGTCTGTACCCCAGGACCGTGTTGGGGGGGAGGGGGACAGGAGGGGGCTAGCAGGGTTTTCAAGGATTTCCAACAGGTGGAACCCGGCCATCCCTATTCCTAAGGGCCACTTAACGACTCCAGGGGTGGTTACAGGATTAACTACCAGTTCATTTTCAAAATGCTGCTTTGAACTCAGAGGGTTGATACTTTTAATTTGTAATTTTTTGTAAAACTTTTTACAAGATAGTAAAGTATTTCACCAGAATACCAGTTTCAATCCGTCCATGGTCTGATTTTTATATAATTTAGTGGTGCTTTAGAAACTTTGTTTTTGTTGTTTCTGAGCTAAACAGCTCAATCCTTTTTCGCCTGTATCTACCTAAGACCAATGTGAACCTTTGTATTTTTGCTCCTAATTTTGGACTCAGTGAAAGTGTACTGTTTACATGTACAGACGCCCCAGTCCCTGTGTGTTCTGCAAGACTCGCTCTTGAGGAGGAAGGTGCACCTCACTAAGCTCATCTGCTTAGCAAAGCCACAAAGCAAAAACCTCTTTTTACCTGTTTCCACCTAAAAACAAAAACGAAAACCCTACACCACATAGAACTCAAGATTTGCTGAAAAATACTTTTTCTAAGCTCAGAAAAATCTCCGTGCGGCAGATAGCCCACATGCCTCTGTGGTGTGGTCCGTTAGGAGCAGGGGGCAGCGCCGAGATGTCCCAGCAGCTTCGGGGGGCGGGGGGACCTGTGTGGACTCCAGGAACATGCAAGCAGGACTTCACGGCAGAGCTGTGGGGCAGTGGAGGTCTCCCAGCAGTTTGGTGGGGGTGGGGGGGTGGGGGTAGGGGGGTGGTTCAAGGTGACTCGTGGGACCTTCAGGGTCAAGCCACCTAGAATTTAGGGACAACCCAAGAGGCTGTCAATCCTCCAGTATAAATTAGACATGTTTTGGGAGAGCATGAATTTCTTACCGGAGATGAGGTTTTAGGACTTCCCAGTGCAGATGGTACAAGCATTCCTTCAGGGATCCCCCCTGGAGGCAGCTTGCTCTGGAGGCATGACCTCTGAGGAGGGGCAGGGGGCTCCAGACGGTAAGCATATGGCACTTAAGACAAACCGTGGATGGCACCAACTTTTAAAGGTGACTCTTTATTACTTAATCAATGGCTACACCTCTAAATTATATTTTTACAGATATGCACCTATGCAACTTAACGTGGCTCTTCTAAGCAGGTGATGACTTCCTCCTCAATGCTCTATAAAAATTGTGTTCTATATAGTGAGTTTTTTCCAGTAAATGTGGCTTAATATTTTAATTCTTAGAATGTGTCTTCTCTATGTGATGCAACTAAATTCTGTTTGTTTGTGGAATGACTAGCACAGGCCAAGTCCCTCTCCCTCACTTAACAAAAGACCAATGAGCTGTTAATCGAGCTGTTATCTCCATGGTATTACTTGCTAAATGCACTGATTTCATAAGTATGTGGAATCCTTTTTCTTTTGAATCTGTATATCATATATAAGACTGAATCTACTTAATAAACACTGAATAACAAACCGGATGCTTCATTCCCACCATGTCCTCTCAACAGCCCTGCCAGCCAGCTCTCTTCCTTGCACACCTGTGGAGGGCAGCACCGACCCGCCCTTCTGCTAGTAAGTAGACCACCTTTCCCAGCTGGCACGCTAGCCCACCATGGAAGGCTGTCAGTAAACTCCTCAAATGAGTAAGCCTGTCATTTCTTTTCACACCTAGCCCATTGGAAAGAGAAGGAAACGAAACTTTACTAACACTCGTTGGGTGGCAGGAGCAGGTGGCCGATTCCCGGGGATGCCCATCAGTCCCCATGCTCCTCCGGCCCCACTGAAACCAGGCTCATGCGCACCGGCCCCTCAGTGCTGGCTTGGAAGACTGAGGGCGGTTAACCTGCAACACTTGATGTTCCGTTTGACCCCAAACTCCTGAGCCCTCCTTAAGGGAAAAGGGCTGTTTACTTGTGCACAGACTTTTTTTCATCCTGCATATATCATTAAGGCTACACCTTGAGGAAAACTTCCAGGAATATGGCTGGGGGCAAACCTGTCATGGGTTTGAAAAAACAATTCTGCAAGTTACAAGCATAAAGGTTAGTTTTAAAATTGTGTGTTCAGATACACAGACACACATTACATTGCAGTTTTTATGATGTTTGTTTTTTGTAGTGGCAGAATATTTAAAACTGAAACTCTATATAATACCCTAATATATGAAATAGATAAAAATAAAGGGGCAGTGGCTTGAAGCCACCACAGCCAGGGAACACAGTGTGGGGCCAAGGTTCTTAAGATTAGCAGGGACCGTAAAGCCAAAGACAGCAGCTATGTGCCTCTCTTCACGCAACGTAGGGACCAAGGGCAGCAATGCCTCAGTGATATCATGAAACGACTGTCCTAACCCAAACTATCCCCGCTGAGAATCACCAAGGGACCATGAAAGCCCCAGGACCTGGGCCAGCGTATCGGAAGCCCAGCCCCACTGCCCGCAGAGCTCACCAGCGCCAGGAAAGCACTTACCTCCAGATGAAGGATTGGCAGCTCCACCGGACG